CTGCTCCATATGGTTTGAGGCCACCAGGGTGGGCGAAACTCCTCGCAAGCCTGGGCTCCCTGAGTGCTTAAAGGGCAGCTGCCACTCTGCCCCTTCGACAGTTCCCCTTCCATCACAGGCCCCCTCCTGCCTTGGACTTCCAGAGCTGTGTTGTTGCAGGTAATTAAAGGGTTTTAATTAAATTAGGATCCCATCTGGCTGGGATCCGTCAGGCCCTTAACGAGGATTGTGTGTCACCAACATCAGAATGTGGATGGGGACTTAGACATGTGGGTTCTGAATTGGGGAACTAGAGGCCCTTCAGACAGGGGTAGAGGATCCTCTGAGCCCCTCCCAGGCTCCTAGCACTGCAGCAGCTTATTCTACCTCCAGAAATGGAGGCCATGTGCCTTAGCTGGCACAGGGGCCAAGGAAGACCAGAAATTTCCCAAGTTCATGTTTGCCTGTGAGTCTCTAGACCTGTCTGGCGTGTGGTAAGATGTGGGCATCATCTCAGTTCTACAGAGGACGAAACTGAGGTCCATAGGAACAAGGTGCAGTAACACCGGTGAATCACGTGGAGGTAGAGACCCAAAACACAGTGACTTAAATAAATGTAGATTTTTTTTTTCTCAGTTAGACACTGTGGCTGGTAAYCCCAGCTATTCAGGGAGCTGAGGAAGAGGACCTCAAGTCTGAGATCAGTCTGGGCAACTTAGAAAGACCCTGCCTCAAAAAATAAATGGGTTGAGGATGTAGCTCACTGATAAGGAACCACTGGATTTGATCTTCAGTTCTGCCAAATAAAGAAGAACTTTGATTTTTCTCTTACCCCAAAGGCTGAAGGTAGGCCGTGTGGGGCTGCTTTGGCATTTCTATTAAACAAATTTTCGGAGACCAAGATTTCTCCCAGCTCACCACTGTGCCATGTCTAAGGTGCAGCTTGTGTCCCCATAGTCTAAGATGGCAGCTAGAATTAGCAGTCACAGAATTCCAGGCAACAGGGTGGAAGATGGAATAAAGAAGGAGCCAAGAGTATACACYGACTGCCTTAAGATTTCTGGAACTTGACATATAACCACTTGGCCTAAATGTCATTTGCCACATCTTAGTCACATGACCACAGCTAGGTATAGGGAGGTATTTCAGTCACGTGCCCAGATAACAACTGAGGATCTCATTACTATGGAGAAAGGGGAAATAGATACTGGGGGACGATGGGCTCTCTCTGCTATGTATACCACAGGGCAGCACCAGGACAGGAACCYGGGTCTCCTACCTCCAGCCTGGGGCCCTTTCACTTATTTTTGGTGGGGAGAGGTTGAACTCAGGGGCACTCGACTACTGAGCCACATCCCCAGCCCTATTTTGTATTTTATTTAGAGACAGGGTCTCACTGAGTTGCTTAGCACCTTGCTTTTGCTGAGGCTGGCTTTGGACTGGCGATCCTCGCCTTAGCCTCCTGAGACACTGGGATTACAGGCGTATGCCACTGCACCTGGTTCCTTTCACTTATTTTTCCAGGAACTGAAATCAACACAACTTTATCTCCAACAGTAAAGAGAGGAAATAGCATTCAAGGAGCATTTTATTTTATTTTCCCAACAGGTCTCCAAGGAGTAGAACCTTAGTTTTCATAGAAAGGGGGCTACAGGAGATTGTGTCTTTTGTCCAAGACTGCCCAGCTAATAAATTACAGGCCCAGGACAAGGACCTTCCTGGACCTCCTGTACACCCATGATACTTTTTCATTGATTCAGGAGGAGCTGTCTTGTCCCTTGGAACCACCTAGCCAGGTGGCCCTGCAATGATGCAGGAAGAGCCCTTAAACTAGGCATCCTTGGTGGGACTTATTATTGGACCAACCTTTGAGCTCAGCAGGCCAACAGGAAACAAGATCCCCTGTAGAACAAGGACCAGCCCCCAGGTCTCCTCTGGTATTTGTGCCTTGGGGATGGTGTCAGCTGCCACTCCAGGACTTTGGCATAATCAGCAGGTACCACCCCCACCCCATCTTGCCTCTGCCTGGTGGGGCTGATGGTGCCTCTTGTCGCCTGTCACCCCAGCCTCCGATTCTCCTGGCAGCACCGCAGGACTCAGAGTCTTTGGAAGTAACATTTCTCTCTCCCACTCCCAACCATGACATTGGATCACTTCCCACAGAGCAGAGCAACTGGTTCATTGTGTCTCCCTCATCTCCCTACACTGGGTGATCCCATCCTTGGTCATCCTATGACCTTCAGTTAACTCCACCCCCATAGTCCCTTCCCCCAGCTTCCCCAACCACCCACCCACCTCTGTGCCTCTGAGCAATGGGCCTCTCTGCAGGAGTCTGCCACATGCAAGGTCATCAGCTTTCCTGCCAAGGATGGGGAGGGGGTGACTCAGTTCCTGCTTGCTCATCTCAGGGAAGGAGAATGGAGGGACCAGACACCCATTCACTTTTGCCTTAAGCTCCGTCAAGAGGAGGACTCAGCATCACTGCCAGTTGACCTGACACGTGTTCGTWCCCGCTTGCTGGCTCTGCAGACTGCTGAGAAGGTGCACCCTGTAGACGGGAACAGCGAGGCCCAGGCAGTGCCTCTGTGCAGAGCTGAAGGGCAGAGGCAGCCTCCAGGTGTCCTGTTGCTTAGAAAAGAGCGAGAGGTTCTCCCTTCCTCCATAGTGAGGTTCTGGGCATCGAAGGGGGGACTCCAGCATGATGAGGGAGGCCTGGCCTCCACCCGGGACCCTCAGTAGGAAGGGTCCCTGCCCTCAGGGAGCACTCAGTCTGATGAGGGAGGCACAGATGCTGGCCTCAGGAATTTCAATCTAATGAAGGCAGCCCAGCCCCTGGCTCTAGGTGCTCCCCAATTTGATGGGGTGAGGGATGCAGTCATATCTTCAAAAAAGAGCCCCGAGTCTGGTAGGCTTGCTTCAGGGGCTCCATTCTGATGGGGGAGACTGAATGGATGTGGGAACAGGACTGGACCAGCAGAATGGAAGAGTCCAAGGAGAGTTCAGATGGCCCTGAAGGGCATCAGGTGGGGTGGGGGGGGGTGGAGAAGCCACAGGGTTGGGGTGAAGGTGGGCCCTGGACTCTTTCAATGGGGAGAAGATGAGCTCCTTCAAGAGGAACCAACATTCCCATAAATGTGGGAATGGCTAGGGTGGGAGGTCACACCACTTCATGGGCCCCTCCTATGACCTGGCACATGTCCCTGAGCCTTTCTGAACTCCAGCTGGGGTCCATCTGGGTGGGGGAAGCCATAGACTTTGCCCGCAAGGACAGAGGTAGCTGCCTTCTTAGACCTGGGAAGTTGAGTGGACCTGTTACTCGTGTGAATATACGAGGACTCAGGATATGTCTGGCAAGAATAGTAGCSACCAGAGGCCTGTTCCAAAGAATTAAGATTGAGAAGGAAGTCTGTTAGCAAAATTCAAGCTAGAAGAACAGCGTGGTTGCCGGGGAAGGCAGGAAAGGAGGAATGAGGCAGCARTGTGCATGAGGGTGAAATGAAGTTATTAAAATGAACCCACCCCCTGTGCAGGCAGAACTGTGTGCCAGGAAGGCCGAGCCCTCCAGCTGTCGGCAGCATCTGGCTCTCTGCGGGAGCAGAAGAGCAGGAGGGGGTGGGTCAGAGCGCCCCCAGGTCCTGCTGAGAGTTCAGCCGCCACACAGGACCCAGAGCTGGGGACAGCCCCACCGCTCCTTCCTGTCTTCCTCCAGACCCCACAGCATGATGCGAGGTCCTCCTTGGTGTCTAGAGCGCATCCGTAGGTGGAAGTACCTCCAGATTCCAGCAGCACCAAGCCTCCTGACCCTGAGCCTCTCTGAACTCTCAGYACCTGGCCACAGGGTAGAGAGGGAGAAAGAGGCTTGGAGGGGCTTGTGTGTCTCAAGTTGGCTCAGGAGAGGCGGCCCCAGGAAGCAGGGGGCAGGGGAATGCTGGAATGGGAACATGAGCTCAAGCCACTTCTTTCTGGGTCACTTCACACAAGGTGGGTTTGCACCAAGGTGGCTCTTAAGCCCCCATGGCTCTGTGCTGCAGTGTGCGGCAGCTAGGTGCTGCTGGGCAGGAGCAAAGGCCAGAGGTGGTGGGTCCATGCGTCCTTGTACAGGTCTTTCCCCACTGTGATGACGCTGCCAAAAGGGATCCAGGGAACCTGAGCACTGACCTCCCAAGACAGCAGACCCAGAATGACCTCCAGAGGGACAGGGGACAGGGTGGAGTGGGGTGAGGCTCTAGCCTTCCCCTCACTGATCCCCTAAAGGGCCAACCAATTTCCTGGTAGGGAGTCATGGGCAACCATCCATTCTGAGGCTTGCCGGCTGGGAGAAGGGAATGGCTGCTTTCAGTCCCCTTTGTCCTTCACTCCACCCCAACCTTAGGACCGAGGAATCTGTGTGGTCACAACCTTCTAGGTAATCCGGATGCCTACTCACATTTAAGAACCCCTGGTCTGGGCAGACCTCTCCTGTTAAAACTGAAAGAGACCAGAGAGGACAATGAACAAGGCCACACAGAAAAGTAATGGCAGGGCTAGGACCTACTGGTCCTCTGACACTAGGGCTGGCCTGGGTGGCAATTCAGGGAGGACAAGGTGTACCTGATTTGGCCCATCCCACCCACCAGCTCTTCCTCCTTGAGCTGCTCTTGCAGAGGCCACCCCCAGCCCCAGGAGCACCAAGCATGGGGTAGTCACTCTGGTTCCGGTGCTGGGTCTGATGGCCTGGAAAGGGGCCTGGAGAGGGCAACCCTGGAGCCTCAGCGAACACCAGCTCCAGCAGCTGATGGAGCCTCGCGGCTCTGCTGCCCAGCAGTGTCCTGCCCTTGAGAAATGCTGACCAGACCAGGGACTCTCGGGGACCCCTCCCTGGACAACTCAGAATGCAGTGTCCTGGGGGAAAGCTTTATTCCCTGTTCCAAGAACAAGACTCTGCACACAGAAGTTGACAATCAGGTGATTTCACGAGACTTCCCGCCCCCCCCCCCCCCCCCCCCCCCCCCCCCCCCCCCCCCCCGCCCACAGACAGACACTAGGGAACAGACCCAGCATGCCCTCCGTCCTACCCCAGGCTCGTCCCTATCAGGAGAGGTGCAGTCTGACAGGTGGGGCTGACTATTGAGGGACCACTCTCAGAAGGGGGTGCAGTGCAGGAGGGACACAGCACACAGGTGGTCTTCCACCCATGGCCTTAGTGCTAGGAGGACCACCACTGTCCTGTCTCAGTTTGAGAATGGTGTACTATCAGCAAGAGGGTGGGTGAGAGAGCAGAGTGCTGGCAGGAGAGGGCACTGTGGAAAGGGGTGGCTGGCTGGAGGCCGATGGTCTATTTGTCCAAACCTCAAAGCCCTCCAGGTGACTACTTGAGTCTCCCGATGTTCTCTGTGCAGGAAAGGGGCTAGAGCTGCYTACCATGGGCTCCAAGGAAGCCTTGCCTCAGCCAGCCAGCCCAAGCTATTACTTGGTGCATCCACTGATGAAACCCCCCTGCCTGATGCTGTCTTCTCTCAGGATGGCCAGGAGGGAGCCAGGGTCTTCTTCATGACTTGATCTGGGGCCATCCTGGTCTGCCTACTCAGGGCCTGGCATCTGCCTTGGCTCAATGGGAAGCCCTGTAGGGTGCCCAGAGCCCACTCCTCCTCCAGTGCTCCTGGGTTCCAGCAGCTCCACAACCTCGGGTTGGGGCCAGCACTGGGGACCCTTCCCCTCCACTAGAGACTTGGTCCTGGCCCCACCTGGCATCTCCTTCTCTCCACCCCACTCCCTGCCTTGAGGCCCATCCCTTTCCCTGCCCAGCGTCCAGACAGATGGCCTCCTGCACCRGCAGGCCTGTCCTTCCAGCCCTGGCCTGGCCTCTGTGGCCTGCCCAGGGTCACCCAGAGGGGTAGTAGGGGGTGTCGCTGTGGTAGTTGTAATCAGGGCACACCTTCTGGACCAGTCGGTAGTCTGTGCTGTAGAAGGCAATGTAGACGCAGACGACTTTGAAGGGCTGGGAGCAGCTCCAGGTGGCTGAGCTCTGCGCATGGTCTCGGGAACAGGTTTTGGCTGGGTCGTGGGTGCAGAGGGAGGTCCGGCGGCCCCGCTCTACCTTCTCCCACTCCATCCGGCAGTTGAAGATTTTGGATGCCTTGGCTTCAATGAAGATTTGCTGTTCCTGGTGGAACTCCACAGCTTTGCTGGGGGGCACAAGGCTGATGGAGATGTTGCCCTGACCCGTGGCATTGTGGCGGAAGTGGACGCTGAAGGTCCCGTTGCCGTGGTCCACTATCTTCCCCGTGACGAGCAGGTTCAGGGCCACTGTCTTGATGTTGGAATAGAAGTCACCCCAGCCAAATATTTTCTTCACCTTGGCTGAGGGTGGTGGGGTGTGGTTTGGGCGGTTGGGGTGCTGCCCAAGGACCCCCCAAGCCTCCCCAGGTGGAACCAGCAGCCCTAGGAGAGTGGAGTTGGCCATGGGGCGGGACTTAGGTGAGATGTGGCCCCGCTTCCGAGGCACCCGGGGCCGGGGCTGGCCCTCATGGTCATCATGGTCAGAGTCCTCTGAGCCARGGGGACCATCATCCTGGCCACAGATGACCTATGAAAGGGAGTTGRAAAGAGAGTGAGAGCTCTGTACCCRAAGGACCCAGGAGTTCTGGTCTGCCACTCCCTACCACAGTGTTATCTCTGTCCCTGTCTTTTCCTTCGACTCTGACTCAGGCTGAGGGGCTCCTGCAAGGTGCCCACTTACGCTGGGGTCAGCATGACTGTGGCTTGAAGGATGGTCGCATCTCTTGTTTGGACACTTAAGTCATTCCCACAACCTGTCCCCACTGTCCTGCCTTCAAATCTGGAAGGATTGTCAGAAATTTTTTCTAGTGGATTATGGCACCAGAGACCCAAGGCCCTGTCCTAGGCAGTCCCACTTTGATGGGGGAGACTCAGCTGCTGATCTTGGAAAAGTCCCATCTGATGGCGAAATCCCCTAGTCTGATGGAAGAGGTACAATGCCTGCYGGCCTCTGTGAAACACCCAGGCTGGTCCCAGAGGCACATTCTCTGCCCTCAAAGAGCCCCGAGTCAGCTAGGGGAGCCCCTTACTAACCTAGGGTCTTCTAGTAGACAGGAGAACAGTTCCTGTCTTTGGGGACTTTCCTAGCCTGTTGGGTAAGACACTGTCCCTAACCTAGGATAACTGCTACTCTTCAATGCAAAAAGAGCCAACAGTCAGTGAAATAAGATCACAGAATCCAGTGAAATTCTCTGTCAAGTACAAATAAATGCAGCGTAGGTTTTGGCAGGAGGACTAGGGGGAGACGGGAAGGGAGTGCCACACCCAGGATGGCCTAGGGTATGGAAAGCCAAACACTTCTCTGGGGAACATTGATGATGACATGCCAAGATGTTACTTGCATTATGAGTAGGAGTTCTGATTATTCCCATTTCACAGAGGACATCAGGGCTCAGAGGTTACATCAGAGCAAACAAGGCTAAGGTCACATAGGGTCAGCCTTCCTATTACGCCATGTATTCCCAGCCTCACAGACCAGATGTCTTTTAAAAAAGAATTTTATCCAAGCCCCATTCCCAGCCCAAATGTCCTGTAAAACTCTGCCAGGCCTGGAACTGCCTCTGTGGGCTCAGTTAGGTGTCAGGCAGCACCCAGGGAGGCTTCCTGDAGGAGTGATGAGAGCCAGCAGAGCGGGCCTGACCCAGGTCCTTGGCAGCTCTGCAGGGCCTCACTCAGGAAGGTTAGAAGATTTCCTGAGGGCAGTGGCCTGCTTGTGTAYTTGTTTAGTTTTTGAGAGTTCTCACCCATTTGCCTGCCACCAGCCCCAGGGACACCAATTCAGCCGGCAATGTGTGGGTCTGATGGTGATAATGGATGGGGCAGCTGGATGTGGATAGCCAAAGGAGTTTGGGGGTTTCGTACCCCTTGTTCTGGCCTTGGAAGGGCCTGCCACTGTGCTGTGGCCAAGCCCATCTCTGCCCCAAGGCCAAGGCTGGCCTGCCTGGAAGGCCCCCTGGTGGGGTTCAGGAACATCCGGGAAGGGAGACTCCAGGGGCTTGGTTCAGRGCTGCTCACCTGTATGTACTCGACCCTGGGGGTCACAGCTGAAAGGGCCGCAGGTAAGGACTAAGCAGGGAAGGGCTCTTCCAACAGTGGAACGAGGGTGCTGGGCAGAGGGGATTATTGTTTTGAGAGAAGAGGCAGATCCAGATGTGCAGCTGAGGCTTCTCCAGGRTGGATTTGGGGCGGGGTGGGGCGGGGGGCGTCGGGCTAAGAGTGGCAGGGGAGTTAAGCCCTGGGTTGGGGTCGGGGGGTGGGGTTCTCTGCGTCCTGGGCCGCCGGGAAGCCGTGAGACAGCGCCCGGGGAGCGGGTTCAGGGCGCTCCACTCATCTACCGCGAGCGCCCGGGGCGGGAGCCGCCTGCCCAGGTCCTGTGGGGCTCCGGCTGCGCGCAGCCAGGAGAGGAGAGGAAAACAACAGGCGAGGAGGGAGGGAGCGGGAGGGAAGGCGGCAGGGAGGGACGCGGGGGCCGCCCCCTGCCTGGACCGTCTCCGCGCGCTGGAGCACCCAGAGCCCAGGGCTCTCTAGGTCCCAGAGGTCAGGGGAGAAACCCGTGTCCCCTGACCTGGCAGGTCACCGGCTCCACACCTACCCCTCCATCCTCGTTCCGCGCGTCTCAGGGTGCCGGGAAGGGGTCGGATAACCCTTGGCGACCCGGCTCCAGGCCTTTTCCCTAGTGCTAGTCGCACCTCCGGCCACCAGCCGCGGAGTGGGTGGGCCAGTCAAGCACCCTCTCCCCGCCCCTATTAACCCTATCTGTCCAGTCTCCGGCCTCGGACCCGCCCTCTCCCCCAGCCTCCAGTCTTCCCCTCCATCCCTGGGATACCGGGGGAAGGGAGAAACTTTCAGGGCTCAGAAGCTTCCCGCGCTCTCCCCCGATCCTCCGGCCCCCGCCCCTCCGCGCAGCTCCCCGCGGACCACTCACCAGATAGAGGCTGCCCTGCACTAGGAACACGAAGCAGCAGCGAGTCAGTTGCATCGTCCTCTTCTGCTCTTGTCCGCCTTCCTCTCTTTTTCCTTTCGGGGGTCCCAGGCCCCTTTCTCCCCTTCCTGCTCCTTTAGGCGCGCCGTCCCATGCTCCAGTCCTTGTCGGCTCGCGGCCCTCCCCTCAGCCAGTCTCCCAGGACCGACCCCGCCCCCTTCGGTCCAGCTGTACAGCCGCCGCCCCCCACACCGAGTCCAGCTGTGCCCGGCGCGTCCCCGCTCGAGGTCCCAGATGTGTGCCCCGAGCGCCTCGAAGGGCTCCACCGGCTCCGCGGCTCTAAATATGCGCTCCGCGCCCCTCTCGGTTCCAGCGGCTCGGCTCTCGCCCAGATGTGCTGGGGACCAGCGCGCGCGCCCGTCCCCGGTGCTAATTCCCCAGACCAGACGGCCCCTCCCGCCCCGTCGCAGCGCGCCCCCTGGCGGACGCCCCGGGCTGCGCTGAGCCTCGGCCGCCCGCTCCCCGCGCTGCGCCCCGCCAGACTGGAGCGCTCCTGGCGCCCAGGCGGCTCCGGCTTCCTCGTCCCTCCCACTGGCGGCGGCGGCGGCGGCAGGTACGGTGAGCCCAGTCGGTACCTCCGGAGTTAACTCCTCCCCTGCCGGCCCACAGCTCGGGGACTGAGGACGCTGGCTCTCCAGCGAAGGGGGCAGGATGTGGGGCGGAGTAATTGGGAAAGGAACAGAGAGGGTGATAACAAGGCATAAGGGCTCTACCTTTTCAACCCCTCTGTCAGGATCCTGTTTTCCTGAAGCAGGCATCAGAAACTGCTGCCCTACCCCCAACCCTGAGTCCTGGAATTTGGAAAGATAATTTTTTCCAAACCCATTCTAAGAGGACATCTTCCTATTGTAGTCTTCTAAGTGTCTAGCCTTCACTCCTTTTGTTATCACGGTACATTCCGTTTCTTCTTAGAGGACCTGGGAGTATCACTAGACCGTAATAATAACTGAGGAGCGTTTGTCTGGGGTCCTAATCACTAGGCACTAGGTTGGATCTGGGACAGGGGGCAAGGCTAAACCTCCTGAGAAGTAGGGGAATGAGGTGGGCAAGGCCTCCCGGGAGGCTGTCCCTCTGTTGTTCACTACTTACCCTCTCTGTGACACAGAGGGGTCACCAAGTTGAGAGGGATTCCCGAGGCTCTAGTTGGATCTCTGGTCTCTGCAAAGGTTTGCAGAAGGACAAGAAGGAAGAACAAGACCCTCATATTAGATTCCCAAAGGCAGGGGCCTATCCTCCATCACCCCACTGCTTGACATTTAGGGCTTCTTTAGTCTTTAGAAAAATAAAAGGTCAAGCCCTGGTACCTCTTGGAGGCTGTGAGGGTGAGGAGGTACCCAGCATTTGGAGTGGTTCCAGCCTGGGCTGGGTTTCGGGGGCATGCCCTGTGGTCCTCTGAGGTCCAGCTTGGTCCCTGGCTGCAGCCCCCAGCACACACCCAGCCTCCTCCCCCACCATCTGCCAGGCGGGTGCACGGGGAATGCAGATGAATCTTAATACCAGCCTGGGCCAAGTTTGAAGAGGGAGACAGACTCTGCAGAACCAAGACAGCATCACAGAGCCCCCTGTGTTTCCAGGCACCCTAGGTTCCTAGGCAGCAGCTCTTCCTGGCGGTGGTGGGGGCCTGTGTACATCTAGCCAAAGACCCCCAAAGCCAGGGGAGGAGGGAACAGGTAAATCCATGTCTGGCCTCTCAGCCTCTAGTCCGGCTGAAAGGAAGAAGCTGTCAGGCTGAGCGTGGGCAGCTAGTTCCGGTGCTCAGCTAGGCAGAGGCATAGCTGAGCCCACTCCTTGTCCAGTTCAGAAGGTCCCGTCCCCCCAGGAGAGCAGTGTGGCTGAGCAGAAAGAGCTCCGTTTTCAGGCCAGACAGTTCTAAATTCCACTCCAGACCAGGACCTGCTGTGTGACCTTGGGTAGGTTACTTTGGTTCTCTGATGCCAGTTTCCTGATCTGTTGTTGCAAGAACAAAATGAGATGAAATGTGCAAACAAAGTGCAGGCGCGTTGGCTGGCGGGTAGTCGTAGGAGTGCAATAAATGGAAGTTCTCGCTTTTCTACTTCCCACACATGTGCTTGGGCTGCTTCTCCTGCTAGGCTTGCCCTCGCTCTCCTCTTGGTCATTTCTGGCTCTCACTTCCTTCAAGTTTCTGCTCTGCATTCATCCATCAACCACCGGCCCAGCCTGTCCTCAGTGCCAGGCACCAGGCCAGGGGCTGGGATACAGAGATGAATGGGACACCATCCCTGCCCTCAAGGATCTCATTGACTGGTGTGGAATAGAAACATGAAAATTAATAGGTATAACCCACTGTGGTGAATGGAATACCAGATCCTCGCACAGGGCATTATACGGATCACTAAGGCAGGGAGGGATGGGGCAGGAAGGTGAGGGGCAACTTTCTGGAGAAGGTGTCATGAGATTGTGGGGAGGTGTCTTGGCCAGGCAAGGGCTATTCCTGGCAGGGGGCATTGAGCGATCACAGGTCTGGAGGCTAGACCTGGAAGCAGCCTGCTTGCTGTTCCTAGAGCCCCGAGGGAGGAGGGGAGGCAGGTCAGATGATGAGGAGCTTACGTGTCAGGTCAAGGGGTTGGGACCCTGGTCCATGGGGCACCTTTGAAAATGTTTAAGTAGGCTGGTGATAATACCAGATTCGCATTTTAGAAAGTCTTTTTTTTTTTTTTTTGAGAATTCATTAGAAAGAGGAGAGGCTAGAGGAAGAAAGAAGGGGAGAGACTCAATCAGGAGATGCATGCACTGGTCTGGGGCAGGTGGGGAGGTGGAAGACATCTTTTGGAGGCAAAGAGATCAGACTGGGTTGATGCTGAGGTGGGGGAGGGGAGAGAGGGAGTGAAGCCTGCTGCCCACTTCTGTGGCTTGGGTGACAGGCTGGATGATCAATGAGGGGGCACCACAGGCGAAGGAGGAGGGTGGGACCTGGGGAGGGGGGTGAAGGAGTCAGCTTTGATCATGCCAATTCAGGTGCTTTGGGCCATTCAAGGGCAGGAGAAAGCTGAGCCTGGAGTATGGAAGATGCCAGAGGAGCAGCAGGCCTGGATGGAGGTGCCCTGGGTGTGCTGGCATTTAAGAGATGGGCAGAGGAAGAGAACCACCAAAGGATCCCAGGAGGAGTGGGTGTCCAGGGGCAAGGAAGGCAGGTGGGGTCGATTCAGAAACTCCAGGAGGGTCTCATGCTGGCATGAGTGTGCCCAGCAGAGCAGGCACAGTGCAGGGTGAATGCCATGCAAAATCTAAGGTGCCACCTCCATGGAGGTGGGGACCTAGGACTTTGTGTTTTTATAGCCCCTGCCCCACCCAGGGGATGTGGGATATGGATGGAAGTGGCCTCTGGACCTTACCTCATTGTGGTAAAACCCCAGTGTAGGGAGTGTCAGGAGTGAGCCATGGCACAAAGGAGCGGAGAGACCCAGCAAGGGAGAGACAGAAAAGTGACCACCCACCGGGTGTAGTTGAGATTCCTTCAGCCACTTYGCCCAACCTTGGTCCCTCCAGCTGCTCCCAGGGCAGGAAGAAAGACTGCAGACACAGTGCGCTGTGTACCAAGCAGGATCACACAGCTCTGCCGGTGATACCCAGGGTGTGCCTGCCTTTCAGGCTCACCATCCTTTGTCCCCCAAGCCCCTCCCCCACCATGCAGTTCACACAGTAGGAGCTCATCTAAAGAGGGAGGAATGAATGCACTAGTCCCACCCTGTATCCACTAGGGTTGGCTGGGGCATTTGCTTAGCATCTCTGATGCCTTCCCCTGCTTCTCTCATGGCTGGAAGAATCCTGCCTATGTGGCTTCCCTCCTCCCTGCCTYCCCAGTGCTCCTGAAATGAACACAACACAGTGGGCACCTGTTCAGTGCTTAGCCAATGAATGGGAAATGGGGTTCCCGATGGTTTGAAAGGCAGAGAGTAGAYGCCATTGAGCCAGCCGGAGAGGAGAGGTCTGGGGAGAGGGGCGGGTGAAAGAAGATCATTATTGTTGATAATCTCTCATGTTTAGCTGGCAATTTGCAATTTTAAAGTGTTAGGATAGAGCACTGTGTATAGGTATTAGGGAGGCCTAGAGGGAAACCCTAATTCAAATGAAAGGCCAAGCTCAGATCCCAGAGAGATTAGTCTGAAATGATGTGTGGATCAGCTCAGGTGGGAGGGGAAGGAAAGAACCTTCCAGGCAGAGGAAGCAGCTCATGCAAAGGCCAGAGATAAAAGCAAGCCTGGGAGTGGGGTTCTGAGGTGGATGGGATGAAAGACTCATTTGTTCCACAAATAGTTATCAAGTGTCTACTTTTATGTCCGGTCCTGGGCTGGGTGTGGGGTGCAGCTGCCAACGGTCTCTACTGTTCTGCAGTCCTTATTTGCATGGAGACTTTGGGCTGTGAAGGAGACAGAGATGAAATAGCAAAGCACATGAAAACATGAGCTCTGAGATGGGCAAGTGGTACAAAGGAAGAAGAAAGGCAGGTTCCAGGAGAGAAAGGAAGAGGGGTCCTCACTGACTCAGGCCTAAAGGATGAGGAGGCCTGAGTCAGCCAGAGAGCAGAGTGGCGCCTTGCAGCAGAGGGAACGACCCGGGTGGAGACCCTGACCCCAGGGAGTGCTTAGTACTTTGGAGGAGCTGAAAGAAGGTGAGCATGGTGAAGACAGAGAGAGGACATAAGGCCACGGGGCGGGGGGGGGGAGGGCTTGAGAACCCAGGGCTTTATGGGTCGGGGTATGGATTTGGGGTTTCATTCTGTGATTAAAGGCATCTGTTTTGGTTGTGATTGTGAGTTGCAAACAGGATCAGATGTTTCCTTTATAGAGGGATCACCAGAAGGATGGTTCTGGCAACAGTGGAAAGGGTGAAGCTGAGAGGTAAAACTGGAGGCTGGGAGGTGATGGCAGTCTGAATTAGGACAGAGACAGCAGGGGTGTCAGGGAGCAGAGGAGACAGGAAAGGATGGCCCTGAAAGATGTCTACCAGGTGGAAACACAGGACATGAGAGTTGAAGGGTCAAAGCTGGCCCCCAGCTCTCTGGCCCAGGGAACACAGGTGTGGGGGAGAATGTGTAGCCCCATCCTGAACAGGTGCAGAGTGGAGTTCAGCCTGGAGGGACAAGACTGGCCAGTGTGGAAGCCTGGAGAGTCGTGCAGGGTGAG